ATACAGGCTAAACAAACACATAAATAATAAAATAAATAAATAGAAACAAATCTTAAAATTATAATTATTCAAAAAGCTCTTAGATAATCCAGGGATATTTTTCTTTTATTTGTGTGTGTCTTCTCTGCTTTTTTTTTTTTTTTCCTCTGCTGGTTTTAAGTTACAAGCTGCAATAAAGAAATACTTTTGTTTTTAATTCCCTTAGTTAGTCAGGCAATGTAAAGTCTTAAGCCTAGACTTCCTGCCTGCTTGGAACTTCTCTTTCATTTTGTGCAGCAATTGAATTACTATGAATTTTGTGGAACTAGAGTCAACACTTGTTATTCTATGATTCTGTTGCTAAAGTTGCTACTTAGTCGATGCTGGTTTTCATAGGGGCTCATTTTATGAAACAATGTAATCAGATTCCTCTTGTACCTCTTTTGATATGTAACTTAATTCCGCGTTATACTAAATATAATCATTCATTACCTTTATATATGGAATAATGAGCTTAAGTAAACAATCCATTTAATCCCAGGGAAATTATATAAAATTTAAAGACAGGGGTCTTTCTTGTATGTGCATATATACTTTTACATGGGTTCACTTTTCAACAATTTATATCATTTTTCTTTCCCCCCACATAGTGCCAAATTACTAGAAATAGACTGAGTTTAGTATTATAACCAAGAGTATTTTACGTAATCATTTGAAGTTTCATAATTTAGTGTTACAATTTTCATGATGATGAAAAATGATTGCATCAGTAAAGTAGTACTTGCAGTACAATTTGTAAATTTATTATAATTATTTTGTACTTTGGCCATAAGACATTATTTTAATATGTAAGTAGGTGAGTGATGATTGTGTAAAATTCACATTACTTCCTTTTAACTTCACTTGTGGGTAGCCTACAGCTTGTTAATATTTGCATCACGAGGGGAAAAATAGCATCAGACTGAGTTCATCTTGTTTGATTTTCAGTACTTGGAAACAGGAACTACAGAATGTGAGGCGAGGACTAATCCATGCCCTTAGTATTTCTTCACTTTGGATAACAAGGTCATGATGAAATTGTTATATAGCAATTTGTTAATTAGAGTAACAAATTCAGTTTGAAAACTACTTTCAGTTGAAATTTAAGCCCCCCTTTCTTTGCTTATAAACTACTGGAAATTGAAAAACATCGTTTTAATGTGATAATTACTATAATTTTTTATTGCAGCAATCATTTATATTTGTATAGATGCCACTATTTCTTGGTTTCTTATTCATCATGCCATTTATACTTTTTAAATCTGTTGCTTTGGGAAAAAGAAACAATAAGTAAGCTTAGAGTTGTGGGAACTGAAAGCCAAAGTGATTATACAGAATAACTAAGATTATACAACATAACTAAGATGTTACAGAGACATATCATCTCTCACAGGAACTCCTACATAACTTTTCTAGAAACAAAATAGTTTTAGTATGTAGGCTCTTAATGCTTTTCAGGGTACCTGTTCCTGTGAAACTCCAGAGATGAAACTATTCATGCCTACTTCTAATAAACCATCACTCAATTATAAAGAAGAATCTTTCTTTAAAATAATTTTAATTAATGAACATTGAAGAGTAGTGTGTACAAAATGTTAACTGAAATAAAATTCTAAAGCAGAAATATTTTATAAGTTGGAGTTATGAAGGATATTGTATGTGTCTGAAGTAAAATATTGACAACAAAAAAGTGAAGATGATCTTCCACACAATGTGTAAAATACAGAGTTAATTTAGGTATGCATCAACAGGGGTGTGTGTAAGAAACTGTGGTAAGCCTTCAGAATGGAATATTGTGTATCCCACAAATAGGATGTAGTCTTTGAATATGTGGCAATATGGGTGAAATGAGAAGATGTCATGTTGAATAATCCATGTATAAAGACAGGAGCTTTGTGTGCGATATAAACAAGTTTAACTCATAGAAGTAGAAGATTGAGTTGTGGTCACAGCACACTAATAGAAATTGAGTGAGTATAGAGAATAAACAGACACTAAGACTAATCTATTACACAGAAATAGAAGATACCGAGAGTTTACAGATTGAGTGTAAATTTATTTAAGTTGGATAATAGCGACTTATATGTTTTGTACATAGAATAGGGTGATGATAACAATAACTTCTTGTGTTTATCAAAGTATTGGAAGAAAATATTTTAATAGTTTGAATCAAGGCATCATATAGCCCTGAAGTAGGCTGAAGACTGACTTCAAACCTACTGTGTAAATTTGGCTTGTAAATCTGATACTCCTGTTTCTAACTCCATAGTACTTCAATTATAGGGTGTGACACCGGGTCTGGCACACAAGAAATCATTTAAATGTTAGCAATAAACAATGAAAATATTTAGCATTATGCATATGCTAGGAAATGAGGAAATACAAGGGCTATTGCTTCTTCCTAGTTAGTGGTGAAAGAGGCAGAATTTCTGGCATCCTCTCCAAGTTTCCCTGGTCATGAGAAACATTTCTTCCAGCACACACAAGAGCAAAGGGAGCCCCCCCGGATCTGCCATGGTCAAGTGTAAAGTGGTTTGCTGTCCTGTTTATGGAGTAGTCTGGGGAAGGAGCATGGAAGTGATATTGTTTCAACGAGGAAAGGAAGATGCAGTATTAATGAGTGGGCAAAGAACAGCTCTGGCTGAGGATGCCTCTGTGTCTAGTCTTGACAGAGTTTAACTTTCACAGTGGAACAGTTATGTAAGGAAAATAAACTCTGTGTTTTTCCATTAAATAGTAAGTGCAAATTGTTGACTTTGAAACTTGAGAAAAATGATGGACTAAGTTAAAAAACAAGTTTGTATAAACTTTAAGTACAAATCTGGGCTGCCTGCCCCTCACCCAAACTTGAGGTTGAAGAATCAAGCCTGTTGAATCTGCCTCTTCCCACAACCAGCACACAAAACTCAGCATTGGTAATCTCCTAATTATTAGCTTCTTTATGAGATTCTGCCTTAAAAATAGATCCATATATGCTGGGCGTTGGTGACACACACCATTAATCCTAGCACTCGGGAGGCAGCGGCAGACGGATCTCTGTGAGTTAGAGGCCTGCCTAGGCTACAGAGCGAGTTCCAGAGCAACCTCCCAGACAATTCAAAGAAACCGTGTCTCAAAAAACAAAAAGACCTCTCTCTCTCTCTCTTTCTCTCTCTCTCTCTCTCTCTCTCTCTGCACATATAACAATAATTTGTGCAAAAATTAGGTCATAAAATTGAAAAAGAGCAATGAAGAGCCACATGGTAGTGCTTGTAAGGAGGAAAGAGAAATAATGTAATTATATCAAAAAATAAAAGAAATAATTAAAATGGATATATTATAGAACTACCTATATGAATCTATAGGAATTTTCCTAAATGCTAACTTCATGAGGATTCACAAAATGTCTACCACAGAAACAACTTCAAGTTTTTGATTATTAAAAATAAAATAATGCAGTTTAATATATTAGACATACTTTTAATAAAACTAATTTTTCTTTCAAATATCAGGAAATTTAGAAGAAAAATTTATATGCTGTAGTTGTTAACTAAAGAATAAAGAAATAAAGATTTCACCAATAATGAGTAACTCTGAATAAGTAAGAATATTAAAAATATGTTTTTCTTTAGCTGCCTACTCTTTTCCTTAGTTAACCCCATTGATTAAAATCTGATTACTGCAAATTACTTACTGATTTATAAACAACTGATAACTACTTGCCTTTTATAATTGCAGGTATCTATTCTTAATACTTTATTAAGGAGTAAGGGATTGGTGAAAATACCACTAACCTCTGTGAGAAAGCAGTTTGTCAAATGATTCAGCCCATTTTACTGCTTCTTCAGGGGAGACTCTGTGCAGAAAACAAAAGGTTTGATCATGAAGTGAGCAGCATGTTCACTTCTTAATCTCTGTGGTCGCTCTGCAGTCTGCACTCTCCACTGATACACTGTAGGCTCTCTCCTTCTAATTTTGTAAGCCTAGGTCAAACTGGCAGTGCAATCTTCAAGATCAGTCAGTTTTCTTTTGGAGTTTCCTCATTGAACAGGCCTTCCCAAAGCATCAAAATTGTTTTAGTTTTTGAGTAAAAATTGTTATGTATTAAGTCAAAAACATAAAAAAGAGAGAAACCAGTTTGAGAAGGAGAGAGATAGAGAGAGCAGAGACAGAGACTGAGACAGAGAGATCAGGTAAACTACATTTTAAAAATCTTCGGCAAATAAGAAAGCATAAACTATATCTTTTCAAGTCATTTCTTTAAAAGAATGCAATTTCATTGAGTCTGTAACTAAAAGGTGCTGGGTTTTATTTGTTTGTTTGCTTCTTTCTTTTTTCTTTTTTTTCTCTCTTTCTTTAAATGCATGAAGTTTGGTGATGTTTCAAGACTGTAAGATAAACCTATTTTTTATATGATTGGAGATGCCAATAAAGGGTAAAGTGAAATATTATTATATATTTAGCTAAACATATTCAAAATTTGAATAATTGCAAGCTAATATGTAAGGCTAATTTTATTTTTTGAGTTAAGAAAATACTCAATCAAATTACAAATATCCTTTGTATATTCCTTGTATACATATATCCATAAGCTATTTTCTTGAAAACTTCTGAGGAAATAGATAAATAACCTTTTCTGGTGGCAAATTTACAGTATTTAAACACTGTAATAGTTCATCAATTTATGGGCTATAACATGTATCATTTAAAATGGACAGGTCCCTATCCACTCCTCCAGAGGGGTAGATTGAAGCAGGAGGAGGTTAGCAGGAGTAGGGGGAGGAGTGGGAGGGAGAACTTTAGTTCTAATGTAAAATAAAATTAAAAAATAAATAAAATAAAACTCTTAAAAGTTCATGTAATTATTTGATTAGGGTTATGAAAGTGGCTGAATCTTAGAACTATTCATTGTTATGGGAACTAAAATGTTGGACAATGTTCATGTTGCTATGTAATTTTGAATAGCATATTTATTCTTATTTTTTCCATAATAGTAAATTACCAAATCAGAAAAGGATGCTCACAAGGAATTCATGTTCCCCACCTTGTTTCTTTGGCCAACAGGGCAGATCTGCTGGTGGGAGTCTCCCCATGGAAGTCAGGCCTCTGTAGAAGAAGACTTAGTCTATTTCTTTTCTCTTTAGCTCTGTGAAAACAATAATACATTCAGGATAATTCTGATGTTATAGAAGTCTTATTTAACCTGTGCAATAAATTTGGAATTGACAAATAGCCACCATCATTCAGAAATGCTGATTCTTTTACACATGAGTTTTACTTAAATAGTAAATAGAGGAATTACCATGGATTATACCACATACAATTCTATTTTACTTAGGCAGTCAAGTATAGGATAGTCCATTTTATTAATGTGGCTAAAATTGTTAACCTTTTAAAAAATGAAGCTAAATTAGTCTAAATGTTTATTCCCAATAATTTAAAAACTAATAAAGCTCCTCCATTTGCAGCACTACATCAATATATTTTCAACAAATTATTTAAAAAGCCAGAGCTAACAAATATGCATTTAAAGCACAAGGACGACTTAAACATTTCTAATTTTACCTGATTTTGGTCTCGATGCCTGTTTCTTCTTTTCCTGACCCATGCATTAGCTTGAAAAAAGTTTTCTCTTTTGACTCACACATATTCAAATGAGCAAAGAAAACCAGTGACATTTCCATATTCTGTCTCAATGATCAAGAGATGTCAGATTCACTTAGTCCACCTCTCTCCCACTGATGAATGCTGTTTCATAGTTATACATGGTGAATAAAACACTACCCTGAGCCTTTCCACGAGGCTTACAGAAGAAGAAAAGTCAAGGAAAGAAAGAGAGCTGTGTTTCTGCCTCTGCAAGTGTAGAAATGAGGAACTCAAGATTGGTTCTGTACTGTGTTGTTGAAGGAAATGATACTACACATTCTCAAAACCACTTTTGGCCTCCAAGATAAAAACTGGTATTACCACAGTGCAACTTCCTTTTCAGAGAGAAGCTTCAGCTAAAGTGAACAGTGCTGTCATTTCCCATGAGACCTAAAATGTCTTGTGGCAAGGCATGTTATCAAACATTAGCAGCTCATTTTTGTTCTTTAAAACTATAATTTTATTTAGTTCTAGTAAATTGACTCAAAGTACATTTGATCACATAATGCAGTGTAGTGTTAATTAATTACATTTGCTTAATATATTGCATCAATATAAGGCAATAAGTCACCATTTGTGAATGAAAGGGAGAATAAAACTCACATAATCAAATACATTTAAAGTCCATAAAATAATATGAGACAAATTAGAATTATTTGGGTAAGTCTGTGAAATGAAATGACAAAAGTAACATGGAAAAATTTATACCATATTTTTATATTTTTGCAATATAAAGTATATACCTTCTTGGAATTTGGCACCTTTACTTTTATGGTTAAAATGTTTTTCTTAATGAAATAGTTCAACTAATAAAGACAATTTGTATTTTGGTTTATTTTATACCCTATTCCCAAAGAAAATTGATTTATCGATTTTTGTTTACTCTTTCATGATTCTAAAAATCTGAGAAATGTTTATCTTGCTGAGAAGCTGAGAACACATGTTTTATAGAAAAAAAGTAGGACTCAAAGCCTTAAGGAGGTCTGTGAATGATAGGAATTACCAGTGTTTGATCAACAGCATATGTAAATCTTTCTAACAACTTTTAATTAAGTGCTGACTGCTTTACTTCATATAAATTGTATGTTAAATCAAAACACACAAATGCAAAAGAAAATTTATTTGTATTTGAAATTTTGATTTAACAAAACAATATTTATTAAGAAGACTAGCCTGGAGTTCAAAACACTTATTATTTGATACTAAGGAACACTGGTATATATTTAAAAATAAACCTTCCAAATCTATGACTTTAATTTCTAATTCATTTTTTAAAATTCTTCACATTGGCTTAAAATCTCTGAGATGGGGCTTGGAGGGGAAGGAGGGGATAGCAGAATGAGGGGAAGGAGTGGGAATTTGGATGGGTATGTAAAATGAGAAAAGATTGTTTTCAAAATAAAAATGATAATAAAAGAAAACAATTCTTGTTAAAATATTGCATACAACAAAATTTTATGGCAAATTGGATGCTTAGAATTCTTGTAGTGTCCACCCTGAATTCTTCTAGTATCTATGAGTATCCATTACTGTTATATGAGGCTAAGTCTTGACAAAAATGAATTCAGGTATTTGGGTAAGGAAAAAAATACTAATGTACTCCATGGATAGAAGTTGGAGATAAACTTGAATCTCTCTTTCCCTCCCTCTCCCTCCCTCTCCCTCCTCTCTCTCTCTCTCTCTCTCTCTCTCTCTCTCTCTAGTGCACACATGTGACAGATATAAAATGGGTACAAGATAAGCTCTCCATCACCTGGTAGAACTTTGAGAAAAGAAATTGTACAATTATGGGGTCAAGTACATTACTTCAAAGGCAGATGTGTGTTGACTCTCTGTGTGTGGACACAAGGAGCCAGAGCTGGATAGGAAGAAAAGGTGGGTGCTGACAGATGACTCTACCTAGTCCACTCTCTATTATACACAATCAGTTGATAAATGGTTGATTAAAAGGATGAAGAATAGCCAATTTTCATTTGCCCACATTTCATTTTCTTGCTTTCTTCATTCCTTCATGTAGATAAGAGTCTTCATCTGGCATCAACTTCTAAAGGCCCTTCTTGAACAGTTTCCTTACATAATGTCTACTGATAGCACATTTTCTCAGATTCAGAGTTTCTGAAACTCTTTGTATATCTGCATTGTGGTGCAGCTAAATTGAGCTATTTAGCATATGCATTACCACACATGCATAATTTTCTTTCAAGAAGAATATGTAAAATTTATTCTTTTATCATTTTATATATGTAAGATTTGTGAGAACATATGATATGTCTTTTACCCAAGTTCATTTAGGGAAGGAGTATTTTCTCGAATACACTACAGAATGACATCTTTTTCTTCTTTAGTACTATGAAAGCAGTTATACATTTGTACTTTATGCATTTTGTGTAACGATATATACTCCAGATGTCATATTTTGCTGTTGTAGGTGCTTTTCAAAATTTGTTTTTATATTTGGTTAAAATATTTGATTGAAAACATATACATATAAGTAACCGCAGACAGAGTAGGTTGTATTTGTATATTTAGGAATATATATTCCATATATACATATATAGTTTATGTAGAAGGAAAAGTAAGGGGTAAATGATATAAATTATTTTCAAAAATAAAATTAAGTAAAGAAGAATGCAAATTGAGTCTGCAAATCTTGCCATATACAAAAGCATGTATATGATCAAAAACTAAAAATGCCCATTTAAAATTACTCAAATCAATTTTGTGAATCTTTCACTAACCAAAATGAGTTGGTTTGAGCATCAGCAAGCTTAACAAGTATAATATATTAAAGAGATTAAGCATCTACATCCTTGAATATAGAATGATGGAAAAAGAATATTGTCCATTAGGGTGGATTACATAATAAATCTATTGTCATGAAAATTGGTTAATACTCAAGGATATTACTGTGCATTCTCCAGAAGCTCACTCTACCATTGTTGAAAATATAACAGTCAGAAGACAATGTTCTCATTAGAGTGTCCTTAAGTACGAATAGAAACAGAAAAATAATACTGGAAAAAATTAGTTTTTAATTTTTTTGCAGCTTTAATTTTTAACTTTTTAAAAAAATTTCTGGCATATTATTTCCTAAATGTATTAAGCTGTTTTAGCTGTTACAATCACTGGAAGATATTTCAGCATCATATTTCTGTAAACTTGGCAATGCTTCCTAGATTGCTAAAGAAACAGAATTTAATTCAGACTAATTTTCTGTACCTCCTCAGGAGCTCTCAGGAGCAAAGTAGGATAGAGGAGAGTGGTGAACTGCAGAATGAATGAATAATGTCTGAGATCCAAATTGTGATCAAACTTTAGTTCAGTTATCCAGTTCTTCAACAAGAATTGGTGGGAAGAGAAGGTAACTGGAATAAACATAACTCTCACCTACCTCTGTGAATTTAATAAAAGGTAAATCCATAATCCAAATATGTCTTTGCAACCGAAGGACTAAATTATGCCTAATAGATTTTACCTGAAAGTCTGAATGTCTACAGTTTTCTATTAAATCCATCTTTTGCTTTAGAAAATTAGTCAAATTTAACATAATATTTTACTATCTACTTTTAGAATTAAATGTGTCAAGAGCATTAAGAACAGGAACTTGAAAGGAAATCACCTACTAAAAAAGTAATTAATTTCCCTTTGAGCAATTACTTTATTATTATTCTCATTCATAATATTTTTTTTTTACTTCTGGGCTCCCAAATGACAGATCAAATACTTTTATACTTGGCCTTTCATAATGTACAGTATCCCCAAACAACAAATAGAATCATGAAATTTTCTGAACTATAATTATGGTCTTAAAAACCAACATATACTTGTATTGATAAAAATAACTCAAAACTTCAATAGAAACAAAATTCTTGACACTAATACAAATGTAAAAAAATTAAATCAAATAGTAAGTTTGCTAAGTTTTGCTATATTAAGGAACTTTAAAGACAAAGAACTGGAAATCCACATAGGATTATGTACATATATACATACATCTTTGGGCTCCAAGAGAGATTCCTCTCTGCTACATCTTTTATCTATCTATCTATCTATCTATCTATCTATCTATCTATCTATTTTTGTATAAATACATTTTTATTTAAACTAAAACAATCTTATTTTACATGTGAATCCAAGTTCCCTCTCCCTCCTTCCCTCCCATGTCCCTCACCAACCCCCTCATCTGCTACATCTTTTAATATGTATAAAAGCCAGTAGAATCTATTTAACAATTGGTTCCTCTGTTAAAGAAATTCCGTTGTTAGAAATGAAGAACCTTCAGGGCTGATTACATCTTTTTGCAGAGCTAACTCAAAAATGATTGCAACCGTCTCCCTATGCTACAGAAGCAGAAGTGAAAATTGCCACTGTCTCATTCAAATGTGTCCCTGCCCATTCCCTAATGCCAAACAAAGCTAAATGAATTTTCATGAGGTAACCCCTACACATCTATTAAACTGCACCCTGTCTCTTCTATTCCCTGAGCTCCAACAGCACATTATTCTTTACATTCATATAGTGAGTCATTCTGTTTTGTAATGCATGGTCTTTATTCTATCACAAAAGGTTTTTGGAATCTTTGAAAGAGCAAAATGATTACTGAATGTTCCTGTCTAGTGCATCCTTTGAAGCCATTTCGTTCTTTCATAGCTTTTTAGGTACTGGGCAATTCTATAAATTGTTAAACACTTACAAGTTTGTTTACATAAATGTAGATTAATCTAATTAGAAAGCATTTGATTTCTGTCTTAGGGATACTAATGCATTTCGTGGAATTTATAGATCCATTTCAAAAATCCTAATGGCTAACATGTATGTGATGTCTATTGGGATATTCTTTGGAATGTCACATAGCATGTTACTTGTTATCTCCTTAATTTGTTATTTAAAATTGTAGTTATATATTTTATTTACATGCTTTGAAGAATTATGATCTTACATTTTAAAGTGCTAAGTAATGATAACTGAAATTGTCATTCTAGATTGTTCATTATCGTGTTCATTTGGACACAATGATTAAACTTTAAGCTCTGACTTA